TCTCCCGGACCGCGTGCAGTAGAGAATGACGTTCTCTGCGACGAGGGACGTGTGCGAGAGCAGCTCGCGGCTCTCAGGGGCTTTTGCTCCCCGCTCAGGATCTCCGCTAGCCGCGAGACACCATCCCTGCGCATCGCGGACGATTATGGCGGCGAGTGTGGCCGTGCCACCGCAGGTCTGTAAGATGACGTCGCACATCGTCTCGAGAAGCTGGTCGACATTGAGAACGGCCGAGATGACCTGAGACGACAGCAGGATCGCATGCAGGTCAATCATATCGAGCGCAGGCAGACCGGCCCCGGCACCAGCTTGGAGGTGCACGGAGCCACGCCAGGCACCGATCCGTTCGCCCTTCAGATCGACCAACGCGCTGCTGGGAGCCAGTGGTAAATCCTCGCTCTCCTCGCCGTCCATGGCACGGAAGTGCGGTGGAGGAGCGTCTGATGAAAAGTCCGTCTGCACACAGGCATCTACGGTCCGCGGGTTCCGTGTTGGGCCATGGAGAAGGAGCGCGTGCGTCTCCTCGATATGATCAGCCACGCCGACGGCACCAAACTGCCGATACAACGCGGCAGAGTCCCTCATGGCCGCTCGGGCAGAACGCCTCGCTTTTCTCCCGACGAACACACCGGCCATGAGATAGTTACCCAGCGCCTCGTCAAAGGTGTGATTGTGCTCTTCGGCATGATCCAATGCCTCTTCGTAAAGCATGATTGCGCCGCCGTAGTCCTTGCTGAGCTCGCAAATCTGAGCATCGAGAATCTTGTACCACGAAGCGTAGTTGACGTCGTTGTACGTGGCCCACTCTTTGATCTTTCTCGTGAACACGCGCAGTGTTTGGATGCATTCTTGCTTCTCCGCCTCGAGGCTGTCTGGGTTGAACCGCGGGTCGTCGAGACGATGCAGCATCCGGCCAGCGAGGGACAGTCCGTAGAAGAATATGAGGTGGCGACTGTTGCGGGCAGACCACATGATATCGATGTTCTCGTAACAGGCTGCACCGATCTCGATCGCGCGGTCATAGTGGCCAAAGAGGAAAAGCGGAGTGATCTCCAACGTCTCGAAGAACAAGATGGAGCGGTTCCCATTCAGGACATTCGTGTCGAGCCGCGACTTGTACTGGAGGGTGTTGAAAACATTGTCGCTAAACACGTGCTGTGCGTCCCTCGTTCTCGTCTTGCCTTGCATGGCACGACAGAGCTGCCGAACGGCGATGAGCAGAGTGCCGCCCCGAGTGTCGTCCTTCCAACCCTGAACGTCTTCACAGGCATACTGGGCGAATGCCTCGACATCAGCGAGGTTTTCGCTAGCGTAAAACTTGAGCATCGCAGACAGGCCAGCGCTCACGATTGACGATGTGCGATCTCCGGCGGCCGCAGCGTACTCGACAGAGCCTTCCAGGTGTGCCAAGGCCACGCTGACGGGGAACTGCACGTGGCCGATGAAGATGGCATAGACCATGTAGCCTCTCGCCATGGAGAAAGGATCTCGGAATCGATCGAGCATCTCGATGCAGACATCCCCGGCCTCCACAGCCAATTTGACGAGGTTGAAGCGGGAGAGCGCGATGATGCCAAAGTAGAGAAAGACCAGCCCAGACTGCGGGAATGCGCCAGAGGTCAAGTGCAGATCTAACATGGCGAGGGTGATGCTATAGAACCGGAGCGAGTTGCTCCACCATGCCGAGCTCAACGTCTCAGCCATGACGGCGGCGATCGAGGGTAACGTAGGGTCCGGCGACACGGCCGGCTGCATCAGTTCCGTCTTGTCCATCGTCTGAATCTTGATCGCCAGGCGTTCAAATTCTCGGTCACAGCGTTCGTACGTAGGGTGTTCCTCCAGCCTGACATCCATGAGGCGTAAACACTTCTCCAGCGAGTCGCACGCTGCGGTAACATCCCCAGCCTGGGCGTGAATCCGTGATTGCAGCACGTAAGCGGGTGCCTTGTCGATCGCCGTGCGTCCCTTGTCAAAAAGGATCGAGAGAGACGACTCGCTCTTCTTCTGATTCATGTATAGACTGCACTCGGCGCTCGCAGTGTATCTGCAGGGTTTCGTCGTAAGACACGTCCTCGGGGCCATCGGTCCAGGGGTTCGGTTGGAGGAGGTCCAAGGCCGTCGCATAATACTTGGCTGCCGTCGGCCGTGCCTCGTTCTCTGTTGCCGTAGCGGCGCACTCGAGGAGCAGCGTGCGAAAGGGTTCGCGGATCTTCACTCGCCGTTTAATCAGCTCGGCGGACTCGCAAATGTGTAGCGAAGCAGTATCTCTCGCCCGAGCATCCGTTGAGTAGTACTTCATGAGAGTCTGGGCGATGATGAAGCGCATTTTGCGGGCGTTACATTCCTTGAGAGCGGCCGAGGCCTGTATGTAGCGGTCATGGGCGAAACGGAACCGGTCATCCGTCTCGCCAGGCATCAGAACACACGCGTTGACGGCGGCCTGGAGGCCAGCGATGAGTTCATCGTTAGAATATTTTGTGTTCACCTCTTGGGCATTCGGGTCAACACAAGCAACATCGTCCGTGTATTGGAACTCGCCCGTCAAGAGACGACTGACGAGCTCAAAAGAGAAGGAGTAGCCGAGAAGCGCAGCCCAGGCCAAGATTGCGCGCGCCGATGGTGGAAGCTCTTTCAGACGCTGAGTGATGAAAGCCGTATCGAGAACATCGTATCCCTCCGTCTGGAACTGATCGAAGAGTCGGTCAAGATCAAAGTGCCAGTTGCTGTCCTTGTATTCGTACCAGATGCTCTTATTGCGGTAGCATGCGCTGAGCATCTCTCTGATGTAGAATGGGTTGCCAGCAGTCTTAGACTGAATGACTAGGGCCAACGGCAAAATGTCCTCTTTGGGTCGGCATAATGTGGCCGCAACATAGTGCACAATGTCGATCTCGCTGAGGGGCGCCAGCGCAATCCGGGTGATTGTCGGCCTCCCTGTGCGCGAAAAGTCTGTAATGCATGAGTGGTTG